GAAGGTTCTGGAGTATGAAATTTTTTGTGGTACTAGGGATCAAACCAAGGGCCTTGTGCATATGAGGTAAGTGTTCTATCACAGCTGTCTTCAGCCTTTGAGTATGAAATTTGAAACATTTTGAATATAGGTAAAATTCTCTGAAGAAAGGTGGGCATGGTGGCACACATCTGTAATCTCAGCACTTGGGAGACTGAGGCCGAAGGACTGTTGTGGGTTCATATGCAGCCTGGGTTACATAATGAATTCAAAGCCTCACAAAGTGAGACCCTGTCTCAAAAAACAAAATGAAACAGGGCCGGGGATTTAGCTCAGTGGTTCCACCGCCTGCCTTGCAAGCTTAAGGACCCGAGTTCGATCCCTGGTACCAAAAATAAATAAATAAATAAATAAATAAATAAATAAATAAATAAATAAATAAGTATCTTTGAAGACAAAGCAATAACTTTCTATATTTCACTCTTCATAACTGCAAACATAATGCCAATGTAAATGAGTTGCTGCCAGACTGCACCAAGACTGTTTAGCTGCTGCAGCTTGAGCCCATTCTTTCAATTATTTGGTGTTTTCAATCTACCCATACTCTAGTAGCCCACATGACATTTATACTTGTCTTCCCTCATATTTAGCAACACATGATCTCTTTCAAGAGCTTCATGAATATGAGCACTCCAAAGACTTTCTGCCCCTGAAAAGTATTATTTCAAACAACTACAAGGAAAATAGTTGGAAGCAGAAGTGAATGAACAGAAAAAGTGACAGCAAAACTCTGTGCCTCAAGATAAAAGCTTTCCCAAAATTATCTTTAAATGTCACAGAGAGACTAGGCCAGCTGAGACTCCATTTTAGAAAGCCTTCCTCCTAGTATCGTAAGACAGAGCCCCACCCAGGATTTTAGCCCACTGTTTTCTGTAGTTATTCTAACACTATTACCAAGATGAAATAAGAGATTAGGTGGCAAAAGGCAATTCTACACCTCTCCCGTTCTATAGCAATAATTACTGGCCAGCTGAGAACTCATGATAAGATCATGAGTATGGCAGGAAGGACAGCAAACACCACAGGTACCGCATCAAGGGATAAATGAATGAATGATTGCAGAGCCATACAAACAATCAATCCTTTTACTGGAGAGACATACCTCTTCATAGGTATATTATCCATATATACTAACACATGAAAGATCACATCACCTTGTTTACGGATACATTTAATATCCCTTACCCTTCCCGACTTTCAAAACATAATAGTATACAAAATATAAAATATCTTAAATATTATAAAAATTGCAAGAAAAAATAGAATGTATGAAAATATTTTTATCTGAGTTTTCCCTCATTGTTGAGAGGCAGCTAGTTTACCTTGAGTTCATAACTGTTGAGTGGGTAGGAGTATGCCCTGCCTAATACTATTCTGTCTCGGAGGAGCTTAAATAAAACATAGTAATTGCAGAAGAGGATGAGCGCCATGGAGAGTGTGTGGTTCCACTTCTCTGACCGCAGCAAGGAATAGAGCTGGTAGAAGACGACACTGCCCTCGATAAGGATAAGTAGATTTAACAGCCTTAATGGACGATGAAACAGGAACTGTAAAGAAATTTTTTTTAAAAAGTTACTTCACAGAGAAGACTGAAGTTATTACTGAATTTTTCTAAGATCATTTCATATTTATATGTTTTATATGCAATAACTAATAGATCTGCTTATCAAATATCAATCAGACTACTTCTTGCTATAGAGATCCAATTTCATTTTTGCTCAAGACTAAGAAAAATACTTTTACTTCAGTGCCCCTGGGACATGAAAAGGAATTATGCTCCAAAGAACACTATTTCTAAAGATTTTCCTGAGATTATATCTTATGTATATACTTTATTAAAGATAACGAAAAGTGTATATTTATCTAAGACAGAAGTTGAAGAAAAGAAACAAAAATTATTTTAGGCTCTTTAAGTTGAAGGAAAAAATTGAGAATACCTGAGCATGGTGGGACATGCCTGTAAAATGCAGCTACTTGGAAGGCTAAGGCAAGAAGAACTGCAAGCTCAGAGCTAGTCTAGAAAACTCAGTGAGACCTTGTCTAAAAAAATAATAAAAGTGTTGGGGAAAGAATTCAGTGCTCCCTGGGTTCAATCCCCAGTACTTGGGACACACACACACATACTATAATGTAGATACTTATGTATGTAACTACTTAAAATGTAACTGTTTAAAAATGTAAAAACTAAGCTGGTTTTGGTGTCACAGTCCCATAATCCCAAAACTTGAGGAGGCTGTAGCAGGACAATCACAAATTCAAGCCCAGTCTCGACAACTTAGCAAGACCCTGTCTCAAAATAAAAGAAGGGCTGAGAATGTAGCTCAGTGTGAAGGCCTTGGGTTCAAAGCCCAGTAACACAATTAATCACTCCCACCTTTAGCTTGTGGGATTGATCTAAGACATATAAACACTAAAACTAGACAAGTTTGGAAAGCAGAGAAGTATTATATGTTAAAATATCAATCCAATAGTTTCTTAATCTCCCCTTAAACTGGTTGCCTACCATCGTCACAGACTAAAATCCTCCACGCCATGTACTTCTGCTATTTTATTTTTTTCTGAATACTGAGAAGCAGGGTGTACACAGACAAGACAAGGAGAAAGGAAAAAAAATTAGAATCAGAATTAAAAACAGGACTTACTTTCACTTTCATCAAATCCTCTAAGGTGCTAAATCCTGATTAATAAAAAGGTGCTATGCCTAAAAAGGTATAGTCACAGACTGCAAAGGAATATTAATTAATAATTCAGCTTAACCACTTTAGTCCTAAATTTAGATGAAGATAGATTATGGTAATGTACTCCCCATCAGATCTAAAAGAACTACTGATAGACTTTCAATCTCAAGAGTTTAAATCTGAGAATAAAGCCAAACTATCATGACAGTTCTGAAAGTCACCCTGGTCTTCAGGGTCCTTCAGAACAAATAACTTGGGTTTTATTACATGATATCCAGCAACATCCTAAATGAAACCGGCTCAGAATGAATGCTCTACAAAGATTCAGAAAGCAATTTCAGATTTCATGGCAAGGTATATATAACTAAATGTGCAGTAACCTATAAAGTGAATGAGTAGAAAGATGAGGACAGATTTTAAAGTCTAACAAATATTGGTAAGAAGCACACTTTAAATGAGTGTTCTTAAATGCCACTCTGCTTGAGAATCATTTCCAAATATGCAAATGCTTTAAATTCCTGGGATCCTCCAAGATTTAGAGGCAGAAGTCTGGGATAGAGGCCCTGAATCACTGTCTTTAAAAGTGGGCCAGGGCTGGCGATTTAGCTCAATGGTGCTGTTTCCTGCCTCGAAAGCACAAGGTTCCGAGTTTGATCCCCAGTACCAAAAAAAAGAGTGGGCCAGGTAATTCATGTGCAGATGGCCCAAGGACCCCCTTGAAAAGCACTGATTTAACTATTCAGTCATGTAAAACCAGTAATTAGTTAACCTGCCTAATCTTTTTTTTTTTTTTTAATTCTTTTATTGGTACATTGTAGGTATACAACACTAACCTGCCTAATCTTTCCTCTATGGATTCCACTTGATTCTTTAGCTATCCAAACCTAGCAAGGTAAAATATTAAACAGAAAATTCTAATAAAATATCTGGTTATTACAGGTGTCCAGGGGGTAGAAAGGACCAAAGGAAGGAATTAATGGCCTAGAGAATTCAGCTGGCTGAATTAAATATCTTATAGAGAAATCAAATGCTTATGTAGTTGACTCTGCCATGTTAAGGCAATCTGTTAAGAGTTGGGAGGAAGTAGGAGATGGGGGTTGAGAAAAGATGCTATTGGCTCCTCATCCAAGGGCCTTTCACCCTCCTGTGCTCCTACCAACCTCTCACCTATCCCACCTTCCCTACCATGGTATTTGTAAGTATCCTGTCCTCATATAAGTTCCCAGGAGCTAACTGAAAGGTACTTAAACAACACTTGTAGAACCAGAAAGTCCAGGTACCTCACAAGGAACTGGGAGGGACAAAGGGAGAGAGGGATACAAATACAGTAGCTCAAAAACAAGACCTCCAGGACACCCCATTTTCTGGATGTCCCCTCCAGTCCCTCTCTGGCAGAAGCTGGCTCTCCTTTAATAAATATTCCTTACTCTTAAAAAAAAAAAAAAAAAAAGGTCTCCAACCAAGATCCCTAGCTGGGCGTGATGGCAAATGCCTGTAATTCTAGCACTCAGAAGGATGAGACAGGAGGATCAACTCGAGTTCAAGGCCAGCCTGAAACTTCATAGCAAGAACTGGTCTCAAAAAAAAAAAAAAAAAAGGTCCAAAATGGTCTCCAGTCTTAGGCAATGCACTGCATTTAGACATTTTTACCAGGAATTGTCCTCTACATGTACCCTCTTTTTCCTGCTAAAATCGGCCAGCTAGCTAGACTTTCTAAGTAAAGACTTCTACCTTCTGGAGCTAGAATTTCTAGAAAACTGAAAGACCAAAAAGAATGTAACCCAAGGCTTAAATACAAATGGGACAGAAGCTGGATCCAGTGGGTGTCTGCTGCTTTTTCCTTTAACTTTTAAATTTTTCTTTTGAATCCAAATACATAAAAGTAAAAAGCTACAGATCATGGTATTTTTCTGACTTCCAAAGGGGGAGTGAAGGAAAACAAATATCCACCACTTTATTATTATATTAAGTATCACTTAAAGATACACAGACACAACATACCTTGAGGACACCACTAAATGGCATTACTATAAAACAAAACTGCCGATGAAAAAGGAAGCCTTATATAATTGCCTACTTGTTTCAAATACTAGATTCAACAAATTCCAATGTAACTAGAGAAACCAGCTAAGCTATTAAGACTGGAATAATGGTATATGACCTTCAACCGACAGCAATAATTATCGTGCATTAATTTCCTAGTGTTACATACTGAGTAGGTGCTTTGAGTGGCCTCCTAACACTCCTAAACTTATGTTGGAAGACAAATAAGTGGTACTTGCATAAAAGCGGGCATGGGACACATCTGAAGGCACTGCCACGTTGTAAGGCCCCATGGCTCTATATAAACATCTGCTGTGCCGCACCAGCACCCCTTGAGGCCATATTGTATTTTCTGACCAACTAAGGGAGAAAGAAAGGCAATGTTAGCGCATTGACAATTACAGACAAGATAGTGTCTGGCAAGGCCAGTTATATTTTAATGGAAGGGATTATAACTATTCAAGGCTTCATCTGTCTGAATTCTGAAAAAATAGTAATTTCATGGTCAAAATAGGAGTTAGAATGGATTTGTTAGGGTAACTTCATTGCTATAGTGTACAGACAGATTGCAAAGTGATAAGGTTAATGTCAAAGAATTTAGAAAGCTTAGGAGAATAAGCGGACATATGTTTAAGGCATCTATGGGCAGGAAAACAATGTAAGCAGGCAGACTGTCATCTCCATCCCAAGTAAGCAGAATCTACTGACAGAAATGATAGAAAAAATAAGAAGAGGAAGCTGATGCCAGTAAGAGTAGAAGAGAAATTAACACACTGTCAACTAGCATGACTTTTACTACAGAACTACATCCCCCAAAGCTAAAGAATATCAGTTTGCTTAACAATTCAAATACCTCACAGATTTGGGAAGCTCTATAAGTAGAACACACAGACACACAAGGTACTGACACAGACTTTTCTTTTTACCACTTTCTTGGTTTATTTCTCTAGGGAAAAGAAGTTAGGGAAGAAATAGCTTCATTTTTTCCAGCATCATTGTAATGGAGTCAGGGTGGGGATGGGGATCTTCAGGTTAAGCTTTTTTTAAAAAAAATGATTAAATTAATTCTTTTCTTCCTGATTTTGGGAAGGTTAGTTTCCTAGGGTAAGAACTGGGACAGCAGTTTAAATATGTTAAAAATATATATTCTAGCACCCTGAAGCTTTCCCAGTGGAGAAAATGTTCCGCCGGCCTTGCTCACACTTACCAGCATTAAGTGATGATGCACCTCATGGCCATGTGCCATCAGGAGCCTGCAGATGTACAGTACTAGTACTGTGGATTGTATTTTCAATTTTTACTGAAATCTGTCCTTGCCCACAGTCAGGTTTCTGTTCAGCCTGGCCCAATCTCTCTCAGTTCCTGGGCTTGAAGGCCTGTGCTAATCTGTATCAGACATCAAGGCAGATAATTGAAGGGAGAACTCTGAGGGGGGAAGGGAAGGGAAGTCACCTCAATCTGTCCCGCTTAGTTAGGAAAAAGTTGGTAGGAGATGAAATTTATGAAATGTTCAAATTATAAAAGGAAGATGAAGATGGCCCAGGTCTGAGAAACAGGTAGGATGACAGGCTCAGAAGCAAGAGAAAAAAAGGGGTTCTAGAATTAGCCATTTTGGATCAAAGGGGCCATGCAGAGAAATTACTGATGGGAGAACAATGAGAGAGAGACTTAGAACAGTTCTGCTTCAAATATGGGAAAAGTTGAGAAAGAGGGAGAGAGAAGAGAGATTAGGAGGAAAAGGGAAAAAAACCCTGAAAAGTGGGCAAGGAAAATTACTAGACCAAACCTGCAAATATTAGAAAGAAAAGAGAGAGGCAAATTCCAACTATGGTTAAGTGTGAGATGAGTAGTTTGCAACTACTTTAGCTGTGGCAATGAAGATGAGAAGACAAATCTTAAAGCCTTATAAAAAAATTTTTAAAATATGACTCTGAATTTTGGCAAAGGGTTAAAACTAAAAGAAAACTCCAAAGTGTGGCTTGGGACACAAATTACACACTCTAGATTGATTGGGCAGCTGAAAGAAAGGTAGGACACACTTGAGAAGGGCCTGGGAATGGTGGTGGAAATGAGTTAATGTTCCCTGTGTTCAGTTTAGCGTGATGACAAGCATCCAAACTAAAAAATGTTCAAAGCCAAGAACAATGATGACATACAAAGCAAATAAACATGACCAGAAGCATGTACAAAGTGTTATGTGCTTTTACCCTCAGCTTACTCACATGTGCTGTGGAGCATTGCTGTAGGACCCATGTTCCAGCTTCTGCCACTTGCCCAGGTGTGCAGCTGATTTATGGAGCAAGTCACAGTATTTGGATGGCAGTAGTTGTGTGGTTAGCATGACAAAAGCATTGATCCACACCATGATAAGGTGCTCACATGACCAGCGCATGTCATAGTACTGGGTGCTCTGCAAGAAACCATGAGAGAGAGAGAAATGACCCGTGCACAGGCATACAGAGGCAGGGATGGGTGCAGGCACATATGCCCTGCAGACAGGTCCACACTGAGTCAGCATGCACTGGTTGTCCTTTGTGTGTGCGGAGACTTCGAGAGCAGAGTCCTCCAAAATCCTTCCACCTGACTCTCTGGCTGTATGAGTTAGGGCTGGGAGGGAGAGCAGTTATATTTTAAGGGTTTCCTTTCTAGAAGAACTGAGTGCTTCTGAAGGACCACTCCGGCTGCAGAAGTGCTTCTGAATGGGTGAAAGAAACACACTAAAATGTCCCAAAAGATTCTGGGCCCAAGTAATATCCAGACCATTTTTATTTTCTATTAAAATAAACCAAAGTTTAAAGAAGGTTAAATTAAATTCAAAGTAACTCTCGATAACCCTGTTAAGATCAACCACAATAGGCTGAATTTCACTGAAATCTTGGTTCTCTGAAGCTGCTACACATTGATATATTGTAAATACACTTTTTGCTTTTCCCACAAAATTAAATAAAAATTAAAAATATAGGAGAAAAAGAAACAAAGAAAGAGGGGACCACCACAGGGTGCATCACATATATGGAAATACCTATCCGCCAACCAGGAGCGGTATTAGTGTACTCCAGATGCAGCCGAACTCCACCATCCAGGCTGCCAAAGGGGAGACAGAGAAAAGGGGGATTAAACAAGAAATACCCAGTTGATGTAATTCACACACACAAATCCAGGGAGCATATAAAGTGAGATAACAGCTTACCTTCACAAAACACAAGGGGAGAAACGCAACATAGTAGGCACTGAAGAGAGAGTTGAAGAGAACTTCTTTGATTCTGTGGTTGAAATCTGCTTTCAGACATTCTACTTCATTACGGATAAGGTCTGGAGACAGGGGGCAGCTGTGTGTGGGGATGGGCGTGGCATTATTAAACTGTTCTTTTAGAGACTCCAATAATAAGGAGAGGAAGTCTTTAGATTTGGCCAAGCCACCCACAGTTGAGGCACTTTCCTCTACAACCTGGTGCTGAACCACATAGTTATAGTCGGTGAGAAGAAGATGAGCTCTGCTATCTTGGTGGAAACAGCAGAGAGGAACATAAACACCAAACCTGTAAAACAAGGATATCAAAATGAGACCACAGACAACACCTACAAGCGCATCATATAACTATGTCAGTAAATAAGTCATGACGCACTGGAGGAAACACAACCTGAGGGGACTTTGCTGATGGTAAGTTTATTTAGAAATCTCTGTACTTTCCTTCCAAAAAAATAGTATGCAATTATTGTACAATACGAAACTATAGAAAAATCACAATGATAAAATATAAATCACTTCGAACTAATCATTATTGGGTGCACATTTTTCCAACGTGTAAACTTTATATATAGCTACATGTACTTAGGCCTCATATAATGTAAAATGTTTAGGTATCCTGCTACTTGTGTATGTATTATGTTCTCATAGTGTCCCTAAATATTATTCTGTGACAGATTTTAAAGATATTACAGGATTCTTATATACATGTAGGTGCATCACGATTTACCCGTTCCTCTCCCGTTAGAAACAGGCTGTTTCTTATTTGCCGCTAGCATAAATAATACAATAAGGATTTTCCTAGCACCCATTGTCATGTAAATCTAGTAATTTTCACATGGTCTGACCTTCACTTCAAATGCCTCCTTAGTGAGGGCTCCCCTGCCTCCAAACCGTACACTCACCCACTCCCAAAGGGGCCGCTAACTCCCCTTTTCTTGTTACTTCTCTACAGATTTTATCATTCCATGTGTTTATTAGGTTTTTTGGGGGGGCAGGGCAGTTCTTTTTTCTCAGCCTATCATCCCCTCATTACAATGCAAGTTTTAGAAAGCTGCGATTTCAGTCTACTTAATTCGCTAATCTATCCTTGGTACCTCAACAACCAGTGGCTAAAACAGTCTGCTCTCGATATTTGATGAATTAAGTGAAAAAATATATAGAAATACAATAAATTTTTAGAACCACTGAATACTTTTCAGACCTCTGATAAATTTTTGGTGCTAGACACTTAATCCACAACTTCACATATGCTAAGCACAAGCCCTATCACTTAGCAATACCTGAAGTGTCCTCTCCCCTCTCCCTCTCCCTCTCCCTCTCAGGGGTAGGGGCACTGTATTGGGGACTGAACCCAGGGCCTTTACACTGAGTTATATCCTCAACCCCTTTACTTTTTACTTTCGAAACAGGGTCTTGCTAAGTCACTAAATTGCCCAGGCTAGACTCAAACTTTCAATCCTTCTGCTTCAGCTTCCCAAAGTGGTAGGATTACAGATGTATGCTACCACACCTAGCTTCCCTTAATAATTTCTTATAGTTACTCCAACTCTTGGTTCCTTAAAAATTTTTAAAACACTTTCCCAAGTCTTTATTAAAAAACTTTTACAATGGGACCCAAGTATTATAAATAAAATGGTCACTTCACTGACATAAATTCACATATGAAAAATAGCAACTAAAAGACCTTATTTAGTTATACATTTTATAACATTAACAGTGATATTCGCTCTTAGTTTTCTACAGAGGGAGAAAGCATGAGCTTGTTACTAATTAAAAAGATGGTTATGAGTAGCTCCAGGATCCACTGTAAATGGGCTCTTGGGAGGATGGGAAGGGGCAGAGGCAGAATTATCGGACAGAAAAACTCACACATGTACAAAACTGTGATGATCAGAGAAAGCTGAGAGAAGTCTGAAACCCAAGATGAATGTGCAGACGTGGAGGTAAGGGGCTGGAGTATGGCAGACTGCAGTGATAGCACCAATTCTTTACTCTTCCTGTCTCACCAGCCTCCTCTGTGGGGAAGGTGACCTGCCCGAACCCTGTACTGGGCTCAGCAATATGACTTGTTTTAGCCAGTGATGTTGGGCAGAAGGCAGAGGGATTGAGCCCAGTCTGGGCAACTTAAGTTACTGAGACCCTGTCTCAGAACAAAACATGAAAAGGGACTGGGGATGTAGCTCAGTACCAAGGCCTTGGCTTGAATTCCCAGTACTGAAAAAAACAAAGTAAAGAAAGAAACATTAACAGACATGGTGCAATCAGAAGCTTGAAATGGGCTTGCACCCTGAGGCCCACTCTCTTGCTGTTCTGCCAATTTTACACAACTCTGCCCAAGTTCACCTGTTATAAGATGAGAAAACATGGGAGGCAGAGCTGAGCTGTCCCAGTTGCCTGCACAGACGACTGCCATCTAAGCTCAGGAAAGCCTCATGACTTCACACCAATATATATATACAGTAAAGATATACTGTGATAGGCTACTGTGGACCTGTGATAGTTATACCATTATTGTGGCACTAAATAACTGATACAGTGTACAATAAAGGAAAACGGAAAGGTAGCAGCAAAGGCTTAGACCACAGGGCTTTGTAAGGTAAAGGAAATGATTCACTACAAGATTTTAAAGAGTTAAATTCCCCTTTTCAAAAATCATTCTACGTACAATGAAAAACAGAACAAAGAACATGAAATTATGGAAAACATGGAACAGATTCAAGATAAGAGCTACAATTTTAAGAGTGGACTGATTTTTTTGTTGTTTCTTTTGTTGTTATTGTTTTGAGACAGGGTCTTGCTATGTAGTTCAGACTGGTCTTGAGCTCACTACATAGCCCAGACTGGCCTCAAACTTGCAGCAATCCTATAGCTTCAGTCTCCCAAGTGCTGGGATTACAGGCCTGTGCCTGGCTAGACTGTGGACTAACTTACCCTAAATTGAGAAGCTATTTGAGAATAGAAAAAAGAGGAGAAAGACCCTTTTTTGAAAACTATGAATAAACAGAAAAAGAAATATATAGTTGTTTCCATAACCTAGTACTTTGAATTTAATTTTTAATTTTTTAAGTTTATATATTTAATTTTTAAAGGTTACATAAAAGGCAGATTATATAATTTTCAAAAACTTAAGGGCTGGGGATTTAGCTCAGTGGTTTCACCACCTGCTGCGAAAGTGCAAGGACCCGAGTTCGATCCCCAGGACCAAAAAAAAACTTAAGAAGGTGGGATAACCCACTTTCCAGTCCCCCTTCTGTCTCTCTTACAAGCTATCTTTCTCTCAATAAATTTTTCCTACTCTTAAGACAAAAATTAAGGTAAATATATTTAATCCTAAAATCTGTTTGAATTACATACATATTTCATTGTTTTATGAAGTTTAAAGAACCTCCAAGAATAAGCTTCTTTACATGCCTAAATTGAAATGAAAGGTTTTTTAGTAATTTTGATGATGGTAATTCTGTTAAACTACAGGCCTTTACTTGGTGAACAGAGCTAACTAAAATATTCTTCACTGGAAGGACAGCCATACCTATCAGTTTCGCAGGATAGTCCTGGTTAACGCCTGCTGTCCGTTACCCAAGTCTAGAAAACAAACTGCATGGTCCCCATATCCATTGGTTTCCAACTTTCAGAACCCTGGGCTTATATTTGAAGATTTTGTTTTCCACTCTTTAACAGTATCACTTATATGACCCACATAATTTCTAAACATTCACTAACAAAACGTAAACTTGGAGTACTCACGGGTAGCCAAGGAAGAGGAGATTGAGGACTGAATGGCTTCGAAAGAGATTGACAAGGGTCCAGCAAAGCACCCATCCACACAAAGTAAGCAGCACCAAGCGAGCTGATATCAGAACCATGTAGTGAATCATGGACGCTGCACCCGCCTTAGTGGCCTGAAAGTTTGGAAGCACCAAAAGGAGTATTTTATAAATGATCTTATTCAAAAGCAATGTGACTCAAGTAGGGCTTAAAAGCTTTAGTAGAAGCTAAACTGTGCAAAAAATAATGAAAAAGAAAATCTGTCCCCTCATAATCTTGCAAATTCTTAAAAATTCAGACTTCTCCAGGCACAGTAGTTTCCTCCTTGTATCCTCAAAGTCCCTCACACAGACCTTTTTTAAGTTCTTACCATTACTAATTTGTTTACACTAGGATTTCTTAACAGTACAGTCCATGGACCAGTCATTAGAATTATTTGGGCTGCTAATGGAACATGTAAATTCCAACAACTTTCCTCTCGAGAAATCTGTATTTAGCCAGGTGTGGTGGTGCACACCTGTTATACCAGCACTCTGAAAGACTGAATCAGGACCACAAGTTGGAGCCCAGTCTGGGCAATTTAATAACTTAGGGAGATCCTATCTCAAAATAAAAATAAAAAAGGGGAGCCGGCGATTTAGCTCAGTGGTTCCGGCACCTGCCTTGCAAGCGCAAGGTCCCAAGTTCGATCCCCGGTACCAAAAAAATAAAAAAAATTTTTTTAAATGAAATAAAAAAGGGTTGGGGAATGTAGCTCAGTGCAAAAGCCTTGGTCTCAATCCCAAGTAACACCAGGAAAAAAATGTTACTTAAAAAACCTCAGGTTATTTTCATATACATAACAACGGAGAGCCACCAATTTATGTCTTACTTCCCTCCAGACCACAAGGACCTCAATGACACCCACAATATTTCTATTTGTCTTTGAATCCTCCCCTCTAATCTGTTTGCTGAATTACTGTTTAATAAATTACTGAAATTTCACAGTATCTTTGACAGATTCCTACATAAAAAAGTTCAGTTTTTGCACACATAGAAATAATGCATAATCACTTGCAATTCTTTATTAACATAGCTCTTCCAATATGTTCCTTAAAACCAAATCTTTAAAAGTGACTAAATATAGTAAGAAAATACACTTGTCAAAACATGAAGCTTTGACTGCCATTTTCTTCCAAAATGAATTAGGAAAGACAGAATGAGCAAAATGCAAGAGAAAAAAGCAGCTCCTCATAACTTTAGGACAGTAGTGTTTGAACACAGAAAGAGGGAAAAACCGTCTGGAATGACCAGTCCCTGTGAAGAAATAAGGAGCTTTTCAACTCCCTCTTATATTTCCATCTCTCAGTTTACAGATTATATTACAGAATGTATATAATATGTATGTTAATATATATACTACAGTCATGCTCTGCATAATAATGTTTCAATCAATGACAAACTGCACATATGATGGGGTCTCATAAAAATTACAGGGAAAAGAGCCAAATGGGGTGGTGCACGCCTGTAATCCCAGCACTCAGGAGACTGAGGCGGGATGACTGTTGCCAGCTGGGCTACACAGTGAGTTCAATGCCAGCCTGAACCACACAGCAAGACCCTGTTTCAAACAAACAAACAAACAAACAACAACAAAAAAACCCAAGGAGAATCAAGCACCACAGGACATGCTTGTCGTTTCCAGCTATTCAGAGGGCTGAGGCAGGATGGCTTGAAGCCAGGAGTCTGAGGGCAGTATGGGTAACATAGCAAGGCCCCATCTCAAAAAAAAGAAAGAAAAAAATTAAGTTGAAAAATTCCTGTTGTCTAGTGATATTATAGCTGTCATAACACTTTAGCACATAACATCCCTCACACAATTGGGGTGCTGCTGCTAGTCATAAAAGTACAGTATGTACAATTATATGCAGTACATAATAATAAACAATTACGTCACTAGTTTGTTTTCACTTTTTATCGTTATTTTAAAGTATACTCTTACTTATTAAAAAAAGTTTATTGTAAGATAGTACACTGTTTTTCTGAAGCAGCCTCACATCTTGTGATTACAGCATCGTCGCTCTGACTGTACCAACAGCTCACCACTCAAGTTTGTGTAAGCCCACTCTGATGTTGACAAAAGAAGGGAATCACCTTGTGGAGAATTTCCCAGATCTTATTCCAGTGGTGGTGAATCTTTTAGCACTTTCAATGATACAAACAGCTATGTCATGCATGCCATAGGTTCCCCACTGTCTTATCCCATCATTAAGTGACAAGATTCTGTACTTAAACATGTGAAGCAGCAGTTAAACGAATACCATAGTGTGTTACTTTTCTCTCATTGCTAAGACAAAATACCTGACACCTAAAGTTAAAGGGGAAAGGGTTTATTTGGCTTACAGTTTGGAAAGGTTTCAGTCCACATTCGGCTGGCTCCAAGGACGGATGTCATGGTAGACAGGCCTTCCAGAGGAGAAATAGTTCATGGTGCCCACACAGTGGCAAAAGCAACAAGGGACCTTAGGAGCATTTTTTTCTGTCCCTTTTATCTTATTCAGACTACTTAGGGTAGGTCCTAATGCCCTCAGGCCTAGCCCCACCAAGAATCAATCACACACTCTAGATTCAACCACTTCCAAAACAGCCTTACCTCATTCCCATGAGGCTTTGGAGGAACTTCTATACACAAGCCATAGCATTCCACCTTCAGCCCCTCAAAGACTCATGTACATTCCTTTATTCAAAAGGCATTTACTCCTACTCTAAGAGTTGTCTAAGTCCTAACAGTTTCAGCATTGCTGAAATGTCCAAGTTCAATGTCTTCTCTGAGATTTAGGGCAAACTGGAAAACTCTTACCTGCAAGCCCCTATACAAATGAAAAGAAAGTCAAACATTTCCAACATTAAATGGCACAAGACAGATATTATCATTCCAAAGTTACAGATAGGAAGATACAAAGGAATGGGAACAATGCAAGTCCAAACCCAGCAGGGCAAACATTACATCCCACAGTTCCACTTTCAGCATCCCCAGCAATCTGTGGCAAGTCATAAACTCCAAAGGGCTTGAGTGGCTCCACCCCTGAGGCACTTGTGGTTGTAGCTTCCATGGCTTCCTTCTTTTGTAGCTTCCATGGCTTCCTTCTTGTGCGGGCTCTGCTTACTCCTCGTAGTTTTCCTCAGAAGATTTAAGCTCCTGGCTTCTCCAACCTTTGAGGTCTCTACTGAACCTTTGGCTTCACACTCACAGCTTCTTTGTACACTGCCTTCTCAGGGGCACACTGCCTGGCCTCCCAGGCCTTCTTCTGAAATCTGAGTGGAAGTCTCTCTGACCCCACAACTCTTGCATTCTGCATGCTCCTAAAACCACCACCACATGGATGACACCACAGTCTGCTGCTAGCTGTAGCTGTAGCTGTAGCCAAGCTTCCTTCTCTTTTAGCTGTAAGAGTCCAGTACCTATGAACCAGATACCAAGGAACAACTTTCCTAAGCCACCATTTTGGAACAACTTCCCTAGGCTGCTGCCATTTTGGAACATGGTGCTCTGGGGATCTCTTCTGAAAGCAAAGTCCTTCACCTTTGCAATTTTGAGGCTGCAAAGGCTGGAGCTTGTGATTTCCTCAGGCCATCTTTTCTATTCTCCTGTCCCTTCTCAGTAATCACCATCTGCTCTATCTTTGCAGTCCACATGTGATAGCCAACCAGACTCCATTTTGAGCCTCAATGCCAGTTTGTACCTGTGCTTAGACAAAATGCTTGTGCTTGGACAAAGCACCTAAAACCCACATTCTCCTTGGCAGAAAACTTGCTGCAGTTGCAGGATGCTCACCTAGTGTGTGAAACTTCCTTGTGCGCCCCCCTCAACTAACCTGGCATGCTTTTGCTTCTGTAAGATTCCACTTATTCTCCCCTGAGCCCTCCCCAAATAAAAGCATGATTTAAAAGGAAAAAGCAAACTGCTTCCCATTGCCGAGGGAATTTTCTGGCACTAGCTCCCCTCGGCCGCTGGCTTAATAAACTGGCTCAAATCTGACAGAGGTGGCTCATCTTCATTATTTTAACCCACTGGTTCATTACACACAGCTTTTACTGGAGCTTCCTTCCTGGCCAAACTCAAAACATTTTAAATAATTGTTGGGCTTTTTGCTCTTCATTCTCAACATAGATCTGGCTAAAAGACCCCAACAGCAGCCATGCCACAGCCTCGACATTAGCCTGCCTTGAAATTTCTTCTGTGCGATTAGTCTACCATCCTTAATCTCAGTCTCAGGCAGTCTCTGGACATGAGCAAAATGCAGACAAACTTTCTGCCAATCCATAACACACATCTTCTGAAGTTCAACAGCCAATGCAGTCCTTCTTCCTAGCAGAAACCTCCTGAGCCTGGCCTTTATCAGCTTTCTGGTCTTTTGAGTACTGACCAGAACTTCCCATACAGTATAGCCTAAGGCATTCCAGCTCTAGTTCTACAGCCAGCATCTCAAAAAAACTTTTCCTAACTCTATCCCTTCCCACAAGCCAGTTCCAAAGGCTCTTGAGCCACATGGCCAGGTAATGTCACAGCAACAACCCCATTCTCAGTACCAGATTTCTGTGTTAGTTACTTTTCTCATTGCTGAGAAAAAATACCCAACACCCAAAGTTGAAGGGGGAAGGGTTTATTTGGCTTACAGTTTGGAGAGGTTTCAGTCCACATTCAGCTGGGTCCAAGGAAGGGTAGCATGGCAGGCAGGGCTTCCAGAGGAGAAATAGTTCATGGTGCCCACACAGTAGCAAAAGCAACAAGGGACCTTAAGAGCTTTTTTTCTGTCCCTTTTATCTTATTCAGACTTAGGGCAGGTAACACTTTTTTTTTTCAGAGTTTGCTAATTCTTAATTTATAAACAACTTTAGCAAGCATGGATACACTCCATTTCTAAGACAGAAGCTTAGAGTAAATTAGAACAGGAAAATTTATTGCAAAAGTATTAAATGTATAATTACCAAGGAAGAAATACAAGATTTGAATTTATTTAAAAAAAAACATTGTCTAGAGTCCCATTCCCTAAATTGCATTATTCCTACAGCATGTCAGGAGGCAACAGGAAATCAAATAATTCCTCATTAATATGTGTGGAAAGCACTTACTAAAGTTAAATAGCTTGTTCTTTATGGCACCATAGTCTTTAATTTCTTTTTCTTTTTCTTTTTTTCAGCAAAACATTTTTATTAAATTCACCTTGGCCCTACAAACTATCTCATTTATTTATTTTTTTTTGTATATCCTTTTATTGGTACATTTTAGGTGTACAATATAATGACATTCATCATTGGAGATATGCACCTTTACATACTCTCTTGGTTCTTATTTTTCCTTAATCCTGGTGTCCTTAGGACTAGCCCCACCATGAATCAATCACACACTCTAGATTCAGCCACCTCCAAAACAGCCCCACCTCATTCACATGAGGCTTTGAGGGGACATCTAAACACAAGCCATAACACATAGTGAACTGTGTGAACTGCATAAGCCTTAAATTATACAAAATGCTTGGGCTATTCTCAGTCACAGCAGGGGACAGAGCTCCGCATCACTCTCCAGATACACACCTCACACCTATGTGCCAGGGCTCGGGAAGTTACTCCTGTACCCTCACTCACACAGCTCAGTGATAGAAGGAAAAGAGGCTGCTCCTACCTGATGCCACCTAAGAACAGAGCCTGCAGTTCTGCTTTACTACAGAACCCAAGTCTTAACTACTGTGCTGTATGTGACAGATCCTGTATCAGGTCCTGAGGACACAGTGGTAACCAAAACGAGCAAGACCCTGTCTTTATGAAGTAGCCCATGTCATTTCACCAAGGCCAAATTGACCATCCCTATCATCTATGTCAAGGTGTACACGTGCCAACTCTCCTGGAGCTTGACCTACACCCACTCCCAGGGTGTGTGTCACCGTGACATCAAACCCTACAACCTGCTGGTGGACCCTGACACTACTGTCCTCAAGTTCTGTGATTTTGGCAGTGCAAAGCAGTTGGTCTGGAGGGAGCCCAATGTTTCCTATATCTGCTCTCGCTACTACTGAGCACCAGGGCTCATCTTTGGAGCCACCAATTATACCTCGTCCATCCATGTGTGATCAGCTGGCTGCGTCCTATCCAAGCTCCTCCTTGGCCAGCCTATCTTCCCTGGGGACAGTGGGGTGGACCAGCTGATGAAGATCATCAAAGTAACTGGGAACACCAACCCAGGAACAAATCCAAGAGATGAACCCGAACTATACAGAGTTCAAGTTCCCCCAAATTAAAGTTCACCCTTGGACAAAGGTGTTCAAATCTTGGGACACCATCTGAGGCCATCACTCTCTCTTCAAGCCCACTAGAGTACACTCCGTCCTCCAGACTCTCTCCACTAAAGGCCTGTGCCCACAGCTTCTTTGATGAACTTCGATGTCATAACCCAGCTCCCCAACAACTGCCCACTTCCCCCCTTAACTTCAGTTCTGGTGAACTTTCTATCCAACTGTTTCTGAACGCCATTCTCAACTCTCATTTGAGGCCCCCAGCGGGCACTACTCCACTTACTCTATCCTCACAAGCTTTAACTGAGAATCAGACTGGCTCAGACTGCCAGGTGCCTGATGCCACACATACCCTCACTAACTCTTCCTGAGGGCCCCACCAACTACCCTTCCATGACTATCTGGGAGCCCTAAGTGGGGCTGGGAAAGGGGAGGCATAGCCCATCAAACTCCTATCCTGGCTGGGCCCCTAGACTAGAGGGCAGAGGTAAATGAGTCCCTACCCCCACCTCTACTCCCTCTGTTACCAGCCTTACTCCTTTGATGGGATTTTTAAGAGGATTTTAACTGGCTGTGGGGAGGGAAGACAAGGAAGGAAGGGAGGGAGGGAGGGAGGGAGGGAGGGAGGGAGAGAGAGGGGTTGGGGGCATGAGGAACTCCTACCACTTTTGCCCCCTCATACCCCCCAGCCTCCACTTCCTCCAACCTCCCCTGGCCATAACTCTTGTAAATAGAATCAGCCCAATCCATCTTTTCCCTTCCCTGGTCCCCAGGTGTATAAATTGTTATAATTTTTTTCTTAAAGAAAATGTTGATTCGCACCATCCAACCTGGCCCTGCCCTCTCCTACAGCTGTATCTCCACTTCTGTCCTTGTTCCCAAGGCCTCCTCACTCTTCTCCCAACCCTGGAGGTCCTGGGGAAAACGGGAGAACTCCTGATGTCTTAAGTTTCCATAGTAAGGTTTGCCTATGTACAGACCTCCATTCAATAAATTATTGGCATGAAAACCTGAAAAAAAAAAAACAAACCAAAGGGGCTTGACCAATTTGGACAGTTATTTTTAAATTGTGATAAACACTAATGGAAAAGCATATGCTACCAAGAAATCCTAACCTGAGGAAGGCTTCTCTTACAAAGTAGTATTCAAGCTCAGATCTAAAGTATAAGCAAGAGCTGGCCAGGGGAGGAGTAGAAAATTACTCATAACACTAGGTTAAAAGTACACAATGTTCCCAAATATATTTAAATATATACTCTCTATATAAAATCTTTATCTAAAATACAACATATATAAGATTTATTTTTATATATATCTCTTTAGACACAAACCAGGCACAGTGGCACACACCTGCTAATTGATCCCAACCTTCTGGGAAGCTGAGGCAGGAGGATTGCAAGTTTGAGCCACAGCAACTTAGCAAGTCTCTATCTCAAAAAATACAAAAGGCAGGGCAGGGGATTTAGCTCAGTGGTGTCGCTGCCTGCCTCAAAAGCACAAGGTCCCAAGTTCTGATCCCTAGTACCAAAAAAATAAATAAATAAAATTTAAAAATACAAAAGGCACCAGGCATGGTAGCGCACGCCTGTGATCCCAGTATTTGGGAAGCTAAGACAGGAGGAGCACCATGAGTTCCAGGACAGCCTGAGGTACATAGTGAGTTCATGGTTAGCGCAGACTACATAACAAGATCCTATCTGAAAAAAACAAAACAAAAGATCAAAAGGACTGAGGGGACAGCTCAATGTGAAGGCCCTGGGTTCAAGCCTCAGGGGATAAAAAAAACATCCAACTATATGCACATAAAGATTGGAAGGAAATGTACCAAAACATGATTCTCAATAATGGGGCTGTAATTTTTTCAGTTTTTGCTTTACATTTTAGTGTTTCCCAGTTTTTTCAACAAAGTATACCATTTTTATGTTTAGAAAAACAAATTAGTTTTTGGTTTTTTGCATTTTGTTTTGTTTTGTTGAGACAAGGTTTCACTTTGTATCCTAGCCTGGCTTCAAACAGGTGTGCCCAACCAAGCCCAGTAGGAAAACAATTTTTTAAAAAGAGTTGCTTCAAGGTGGTGAAAAGAATAGCTATATTTATTTTTAAGTCTTGTGGAGCAAGTACAGAAGTAGCATTCGCCAGGATGTGAGTAAAAAGTCTATCCAGGTAGAGAGGTGGTCCTTTCTGAATAGAATTTGGCTTTCTGAATTAATTCTCCTTAAGAATGATTGGTTTTTCTCAGGGTAAGGATTCTTTCTGTGATAGAAGCGTGCACACACACACACACACACACACACACACACACACACAGCAAAAACATCTATTTCAAGAGAAGGAAAGAAGAAAAGATGATATACAATCGATTTTACTCATCTAAACTAGATATTTTAGGAAAGAATCACAAGAATCACTATAGAGCTCTTAATTTTCAAAGCTAATATAGCCACATCACTAAAAATGTAAAATGTTGTATATAGTGTTTGCAGTGAAAAGCTTCCCTCCTGCTACACCTGTTTCCCAGTCACCAACAGGCAACCTGTTCTTAGTCTGCAATCCTTCTAGAGGCAATTTATGCAAATTTAGGCAAATATATTCTGCTCTTGCCAGGCATGGTAGCCCACACCTGTAATCCCAGCACTCAACTTAGCCAGGAGGATCTCTGTGAGTTTAAGGTCAGCCTGGACTACAGAGTGAGGGAAATCCTGAACTACATAGTGAGACCATCTCAAAAAACCCAATCCCCCAAAAAAGTATACTCTGTTCCATCTATTTTATTTTAGTACTGGGGATTGAACCCAGGGAGCACTGAGCTACATCCTCAGCCCCACCTGCCCCTGTTTTAGATAGGGTCTTCTAAACTGATCAGGCTGGCCTCTAGCTTGTAATCCCCCAGCCTCGGCTTCCCAAATTGCTAAGACTACAATTAGGAAGGATTTACACACAAAAGGTACTTAGTTTAAATTGTCATACATAACTACCATTTCTAAGTTACAGAAGTGATGGAAAAAATTATTCTCTGCCTGTTTTTGTAAATGCAAACAAAATCTTGGACTGAGCTCCTCTAAAGAAAATTATTTCTCAATATATCCAAAAGTAAGCATTCTTATCACATAACTACCTAACCTGCGAGAAAGGTTACAGAGCCTTTCCTACTGTGAGCACCTGATAATCTTACTACTAGTGTTTTTCAGCTAATTTCAAATGGCTTTCAGATCACAACTGATTTCTGAAAATTAAGAGGTTAAAAACACAAAGACTTTTGTACATATGTTAGAAGATTATAGTAACTATTCATTTAAAATTCCACACTCATAAGGTAGAAGAACTAGGATTTTAGGCCATGGTAGGCTACTTAGGGAGTTCAAGCCAGCCTCCATTATACAGGGAGAAACTAGTTCAAAAAAACCTAAGTAAATAAAGTACTACTGGCACTGCTCATGTAAGAATAAAGAAGTTAACATGCTTGTATTCAAATTACATTTGGACATTTCATGCTTGTAGTCTGAACTCATTCTAGTAACTAAGTCCAGCTACAAGCAACAGAACACAGTGCATGAGTGGTTACCTCTGAGATGAGAGCCCAGACAAGCCTCCTCGCCAGCATCACTGTGATGAACGCTGCCAAGTGATAATCAATGAGGTGAAAATTCTGGAAGAGAAACAAAGATCTGCATCACAAAGAAACATGTGTGTACCAGCTGCAACCTCTACCTGAACAGAGGTCTGCCCCCTGCAGCCTCACTTCCCCTCTGTTCCTTCCCCAGTCTTCTTATCCCTGCCGCTTTAAAATATTTGGTGGCACACATCTGTAATCCTAGCACTCAGGAGGCTAAAACAGGTCAGCCTGCACTACACAGTGAGTTTCAGGCCAGCCTAAACTACCCAGTGTGATTTTATCTCAAAAAACAAAACAAAACAACAAAAAATTATACTGTTAGTTTTTCTCTGAAACTTGACTTAGAAATATGCATTATATTCAATCTCTTCTATAAAAACAGCACTATCCAGATGCCACCTATTTTCTTGTTCTAAGTATGTATACAGAATTGCGATAATAAAGTGAAATCTTTACTTGCAATATACTAGAACCAAAAAAACTGGGATATATTTTCATTTTGATGGTCAAAAATCACGCAGGCTGGGGGCGGGGATTTAGCTCAGTGGTTCTGCCACCTGCCTCCCAAGCGCAAGGTCCTGAGTTCGATCCCCAGTACCAAAAAAAAAAAGTCATGCAGGCTTTTATAATTCCTTCCAAAATGAAAAGCTGAATTTCTCAATTAATTGAATAAAAATATACTTAGCATCCAAAACATGGCAGATACTCTTGACATTAAGCATATATTGCCAAAGATGACAGCCAAAATTCCTGCTCCTGGATTTTACTTTACTATGGTGTGAGAGGGTGTTATGGCTTGTGTTTAGATGCCCCTCCAAAGCCTCATGCTTTCTCAGAGGTGGCTGAAACTAGAGTGTGTGACTGATTCATGGTGGGGGTAGGCCCAAGGGCACTAGGATTAAGGGTGTGAGTGCTACCTGCCCTAAGTAATCTGAATAAGATAAAAGGAAAGCAGAAAGACCTATGAAGGTCGCTTGCTGCTCTTGCTATCCTGTGGGCATCATGAACTATTTCTCCTTTGCAACAGCCCTCTGCCATGTGCTACTCTGCCTTGGAGCCAGCCGAATATGGACTGAAACCTCTACAACCTGTGAGCCAAATAAACCTTTTCCTCTTCTAACTTTGGGTCTCAGGTATTTTGTATCAGCAACAAGAGAAAAGTAACAACACAGAGGGAAATCAAATGGCAGAGATTACTAGTTGTTCTGCTATCAGAGCAGAATTTAACTGGGGCTGACTTCTTGCTAACTAAAAGTTCATTTCCCAGCCTCCCTTGCAAAATTACCTCTAGATAAAGACAGATGAAGTATACAATTATTTTAAAAAGTTTGGTGATGTAGCTCACTGTGAAGGCCTTGGGTTCAATCCTTAGCACCACAAAATAAACAAACAAGTTTTTTTCCACACTACCTTGAGGATTTGGGTCTACATTTCTTTTCTGTCTATATGAAGGTTTAAAATCTCTTTTTAAAAGTCCCAAATACATTGGGGCATGGTGGCACATGCCTATAACCCAAGCACTGTGGGAGAATGAGGCAGGAGGATCTCAAATTCTAGCCCAGTCTGGGCAACTTAGTAAGAAACTATCTCAAAATAAATAATTAAAAATAAAGTAAGTCCCAAACACATATACGAATTATTCAGGACCACAGTGCTCTTTATTCTAGGGAACTATCAGATATTCATCCAAATTGGCCACTGCCAACCACACATGCCAAGTTACATAACTGACTATATATATATATATATATATATATATATATAAATAAATAAAATATATTATATGAAGAATGTTCTCTACATCAAGATCGTGGCCCTGTTAAGATAGGTGGAAAGATTTAAGTACAAATTATCTGTGTCCTGTTTCAGCATCATTTGTTCATTTATCACATAACATCTAGTATTTCTGGTCAGTGTCAATATGCTCCGCATCCTGGCAGTTAACAGATGTCTACTCTTGTCGAATGAATTACTTTATGTTTCACGCACTGGTAGCCACAGATGTGTCACTATAGCAACATCATTAATTTCAGATCTTACCGGAAACGTGCATTCCAATCAAACCTAATTATACCACATTGCTTTCTTGTCCACAAGAAGGAAACTATAATGCAATTATTGGGATACTTCATTTTCTATTCTGCTGTGGCAAATGAGAGAGCCACACTGTGATGGACACTTCTTGTCAAAAAGCTTACTGATGAAGCACAAACCCAATTTACAATCATATGAAGGGCCACCTTACAATTACGTTAGTAATGTAAGGCTCCTCAGACAACAGCTTATTCTTGATTGTTTCAGCAGAAACACAAGCCACTTAGATGTCTGAAAACTGCCTTATGCCCCCGGCACTCTACCTCTGGTAACCAGGACAAGAATTCTTCATGTTGACAGACAGCCATTCACTGCTGGTGCCTCTGCTATGGCTGAAGACAACAAGACAATCACTAGTTTCTGATTGGCTTCTGATTTACACTCAGAGAACAGAATTACTTATACGACTAAAACAAGAAATACAAGACAGAAAGAACCTAATTATTTGAGTTGCTGGAATGTAACACCTAGCAGTCATGAAACTAGACATGCATTGGGACATTAAAGGGCCTGAGGAAAGGGGGAAGCTGAACCCATTGCTAGATTTCCCCTTGACTCTATTTCTGTGTTCCTCCAGCTGTGCCTATCATCTGGAGCTGTGTGGCAAATTGCCTCAGAACCTTAATGGTCAATAGCATGTTTGTGTTGCTAAGAAAGGCTAACAGATATGCCAAGCTCCCACACACAGTTAGAAAGGCAGCCAAGACCCAATCGAACATCTGCCTGACTCCAAAGCCTATTTCCTTCTTATCTGATTATGTGAAATATATGTTTTTATAAAACTGAAGTGAGACAGTAACAAAACACTACTTATTTTCTTGCAGTAACATAATAATTGCATGATTTTCCACAAACCTATGATTTGGTGAGTGTGGCCTTTATGAGAGGCCACAGCAAAGCTGCCACCTCTGTGGGCAACCTTGGGGTGGGACAAGGATTCTGTCTCTTCCCTCAGGAATAAGTGGAAGGGCTTAATCTCTAGACCAGTCTGTGAATTCAGAGGTACTTGGGAGGTGGCCCTAAGAAGAAGCTAACATTGGAGATGTGGCTAGAAATGTCCAAGTGAAGATGGGATGACACAGGGCTTCACCTTGTGAATAGCCAAGAAAGGTTCTGAAAGAAATTCTAGGCCAAACTATTGAAAACAACAACAACAACACTTCAACATTAGCAGCTGAGGGTAAAATTTCTTCTTACAGTTTCTAGTATGAAAAGGTCAATTTCTCTTAATATTTTCTGTGCAACCCATGTTTATAGCAGCACAGTTTGTAATACTTAAATCTTGGAAAAAGCCCAAATGCCAATCAACTGACAAGAGGATAAAGGAGATTTTTTTAATACAATGGAATACTACTCTGCAATAAAGAAGGATGAGCTTCAGACATTTATAGCTAAATGGATGGACCTTGAGATCATACTCTTAAGTGAAATAAATTGGATACACATGTTTAAATACTGCATTGTGGACAAGGGATGTAGCTCAGTGGCACTGCACCTGCCTTGCAAGTGCAAGGTTGTGAGTTCGATCCCCGGTACCAAAATAAATAAATAAATACTGTACTGTTTCTTTGGTATGAGAAATTGAAAGTGGAAATAAAGATTGAAATGTATAACGGATGTTGGGAAATCGGAAAAAGTGTTCAAATGAGAAGGGCAACAAGGGAGGAGGAAGAGAGAAAGGAATGGATAAAAAAAGTGAAAATAGAAGGGAAAAATGGAAACAAAACTTTTGTACATAGGGAGGGGAGGGGGCTTGGGGGAATGGGAAAAAATTAAACAAAATTTAATAAAAGAAATAAAGCACTGGTGCTGTCTTTACAGCACTGTAATTGCAGGAACTATCTTGAGACCTAAAAATAAAAAAATTCTGTGTAGTTTTCTGTGAAAAAAAAAAAAAAAAGATAGGTGGAAAGAGTAGGAGAAACCTACAATATGCTTTTATATACCTCAGCAGAGACAGCTAGTTCCTACCTGAACATTTATTTTTGTAACAGCTACATTTGTTTTCACAACAGAATCCAACTGTACTCAGGTTAACTATGCATCCAGCCAAAGGGTTACAGAATTTTCTAACTTCCCTTAGGTAATACTGCACATGTGGAAATGGTGGGAGCCTAATCGTAAGAAACTCTCCTTTGTATTGTGCTATGTTCTTGCTCCTTTCTGGCTCACAGGAACAAACCACAGCCACTTGAGGCCACATGCTGGAAACATCAGTCTCCACCAACCTGGGACTCCTGACTGGCTACATGGAAGAACTCCACCAACCATGACAACCACTTCAGACTGTTATGAGTTAGATGCATTACATGATTTGGGGTTGATTTGTTATATAAGCTGCACTATCCCAATTCAGCCATTCAAAAGGTAAACTTGATGGAATTTTATCATACTTGACACCTTACATTTACAGCAAATTTAACACAGGATAGACACATTTAAATATCAAAACCTTCCTGTGATAATATTACAAGTTATTTAAATATTTTCTGCATTTTTATTTATGTTACTTCCTCTGGACTACTTATATTTTAATAATCTTATGAGGTTTTCTTTCTGAAAGTAATCGGAGGTTTTAAAAAAAATTTATTCAAAGAAAAATTACTGGGAAAAATAATTTCTACGCATAGATTATTCTAGCTAATTTCTTGCCTAAGGGACATGAAGAATGTGAAGTCCTATAAAAACTTACCAGTGAAGTACAAGATGCAGGGTGATTGTAGGGATACCACCATACAGTTTTATAGATGTTAATGTACTGAATGAACAGAGCAACCAATAGGTAGATGAAAAACAGAAATTCAAAGAGCAGGCTCCCATCCATAGGCAAGTCAGGAATTTGGCAATGACGAACAGGACCTGGGGTGATTAAGGCTGTGATAGGCGGGACTGGAACACCAATAGCGCTACCATTCCTGAAAGAGAAAACTATGGTTAACTCAAATAGTGACACTCTTCAGTGTCACTGAGCACAAAGGGCCTGCTCCTGCTCCCCACTTACTCCTTAAATACTGGAGTTCCCCAAGGCTTCATTCTGGGATCCTCTTTCCTTCTCTTCTCCTTCTAATCATTCTCTTGGTGACCTAAGATGTAGCTATGGCTTTCACTAGCTACTGCATACCAAAGACTGAAATCTCTCTCCACAGGACTCGCTGTTGAGTTTTAGACCCATGTTATCCTACTGTCTACTACAATCTGTGTTCCTCCTATAGTCCTAACCCCAATTCATGGCCCACCTATTACCTTTCCAAATCAGAAACCTCGGTTTAGGTTGGGCATGGTGGCACAAGCCTGTAATCCCAGCACTCAGGAGGCTGAGGCTCAAGGATCACTGTGAGTTCAAGGCCAGCCAGGGCTACATAGTGAGTCCAAGGGACAAGCCTGAACTACATAGCGAGACCTTGTCTCAAAAAAGAAAAAAAGAGGGCCAGAGATTTAGCTCAGTGGCACTACGCCTGCCTCAAAAGCTCAAGATCCTGAGTTCGATCCCCAATGGAAAAAAAAAAAAAAGAAACCTAGGCTAGAGCTTTTCTTCTGTCTCTTCATATCCAATCATTCTCTAAAGAACTGTATTCCACTTTATAGAACTTTCTTCAAAGTGTACCTTTCCCCTCTCAATTCACGGTTTTGGTTCAAGCATTCATCAATTTTCACATAAATTACTGCAGTAATCCTCAATAAATTCAACATTACTTCCACCCAACTCTCCAAACTGCCGTCAAGAATATTTCTAAAGTGAAACTTGCTGGACATGGTTGGACATGCCTCTAATCCCAGCACTTGGGAGCCCGAGGCAAGAGAATCACGAGTTTAAGGCCAGCCTAGCTACATAGTGAATTGTAGACCAGCCAGGCAGGATTATATAGCAAGAACCTGTCTCACATAAATACATACATACATACATAGATAAATGAATGAATGAATGAATGAATGAAGTGAAATTCCAACGTTACTTTTACCTAAAACTCCTTAATGACTCTGCACTGCCAATGGGATAATACTGAAAAACTGTTAGATCCTATGAAGCTTTCTGCTTAACCCAGTATCCTGAGCTCAGCACTCTTGTACATGGACCCTGATACCCATGTTATTTACTACTGGGAACATATAAACTGTTCTTTTGTGACTTTATTCCCTTTACATCCAATAAACTCCATAATCTCATTCCTTAACTACTCACACACACACACTTACTGACATCCTTCCAGACATTTTTTATTCATCCTTCAAGACTTTTAGGGATGGGGGAATAGCTCAGTGTACAGCACTTTTCTAGCATGTGTAAGGTTTAAACCCCAACACCACTACTCAAAAGAAAAAAAAAAAAGAATTTTAAGATATTCAAACATATCCTCTCTGGGGCTTATTCTGACTCATTCAAACAAAACTGATTCATCTGTACTCTATGTCACCATCACACCTAAGCTATGCTTGTATTATGGCACTTTTCATGCTGCTACATAATGTTTTGTATGCATCTATGTCTTCACTATCAGACTATAATCCCAAGAGCAAAGACTATTCTTAGCTCACTGCAAATATATACATTTAAGCTAAGAAGGCAGCAGACCAATACAATCATGAAAAATGTCAGAAATAGCTGGGCTATATGAAGCGATAAGATGGGGACAGAGAATAAAATTTCCTATTGTTCATATGCCTGGGAATAGTTAGAGATCTAATGATCTGCTACTGTTTACACAAAAGGGAAAACGAGTCTTGGTTTGGATCATTTCAAAGAAGATTCTAGAGAAGGAATGATATTAGCAATACCATTCTACTCTAAAATTTCCAAACACAGAATTCTAGCATTGGTATGTTGCATTTACAGTACTTCAAACAATTCATGGGAATATGAACTCTGCTCACAAAGTCAGCAGCCAATTTATTCCCTCACTCAAGTTAATTATAAACTATTGAAACAAAAAATTCTCAAGAGACATTACATGGTTAGGAGCCTCTAATATAAACAAACTAAAAACTTATATTCCCCTTCAGTCACAACTGATGTAAGTGAAGCACTGTGGCTCTGGGACAGGGAAGGTCTGGGTGGAGGTATGCACTGGACGGATGGAGAGCTAACTGGTGTTAGCTCCCACAAAAATAAGGCAAGGGAGAATCAGGCTAAACTTATCTGTTATGGTTTAAGGATTTAAAAGGTTATTAAAAATTTTCCCAAGTAAAACACACTAATATACTTCTGCTATTAACAAAGTCAAAATAGGCATTGTGGTGCACACCTGTAATGTACTTGGGAAGGCAAGGGAGGAGAATCACCACAAGGTGGAGTCTAGCATAGGCAACGTTTGAGAATTCAAGGTCAATCCAAACTGCATAGCAAGTATCTGTCCCCAAAACAAAAGTTAACATAGACATAAGACTGGCTGTTATGGAGCCAGCAAACAGTTACACAGTGAGTTCAAGGACAGCCTGAACTGCATAGTGAGACCCTATCTTTAAAAAAACAAAAGAAACTCCAGAACCACAAAAATAAATAAAAATAAATTTAAAAATTTTTTAAAAAGAAGGAAAAAACCAGTCAATCAAATGTTAAGCTTCCAAAAAAGATATTCACAACAAAATATAAAAGACCTACACTTGTGATACTTTACAGCTTTGGCTACTGAACTTGAAGCAGAAGACAAAAGAGACAAAGTGAAAAATAAATTGATCCAGAGCATCAGTAGGGAAAAAGGAAGTATTCTTACATCAAGAGAATGCATGAGGCCAGGTGATGGCGCACATCTGCAATCCCAGCATTCTGGGAAGCTGGGCAGGAGGATTTCAAGTCCAAACCCAGCGTGGGCAACTTGGTGACACAGCAAGACTCTTATATCAAAATAAAAAAGTTATCGCTTCTCGGCCTTTTGACTAAGATCAAGTGTAGTATCAAAATAAAAAAGTTATCGCTTCTCGGCCTTTTGACTAAGATCAAGTGTAGTATCAAAATAAAAAAGTTAAAAAGGGCTGAGGATATAGTTCAGTGAGAATTTCTTGGATTCTATGCCCAGTAATGCACTTATTTCCAACAGCAATGAGTTACAATAAGACACATGAAATACTGTCCACCAGGAGACTTTGTTAGAGAGTCAAGGGTTTTATTGGAGCTGGCTACATTGGTATCCTCTTTCTTGTGTTTTTTTTTTTTTGGTACTGGGGATTGAACTCGGATCCTTGTGCTTTCAAGGCAGGTGGCAGAACCACTGAGCTAAATACCCAGCCCGGTATCCTCTTTCTAACAATACCAAAATTCTAGACTCCCCAAAGGAAATCAGGTATTCAACATAGCTGTCATTAGGCCTGCTTACAAAGCTTGCATCTGGGAATTTTGTAAAACGGTTCCCTCCACTGCTATAAAACTTCCCCTACATAGTAAGAATGGGTCACCAAGCCTAAACTGCATAAACAATGAGGTTTACGTTGAAAACCTGCTTTGTCTTTGCATATAAAGTTTGTGTAAAGGCCCAACATGGTGTACATGACTATAATCCCACTTGGAAGACTGAAGCAGGAAGAGTACAAGTTGGAGGCCAGCCTGGGCAACTTTAGAGAATTCAAGGCCAATCTGCATTACATAGCATGATCCTATCTCCAAAAGAAAATAAACACAGCAGACTTAAGACTGGTCCTATGGAGCCAGCAGGCAGTACAATTTAGGTAAACAAATGGGTAAAGAAAGATTCAAAAGCATAAAGAGGAACTAGAAGAGACAGAGAAAGCCGTAGTCATCTGGATAGGTTCAGGGATATTATTAGCAAAGCTACACAATGACTAAGACTGACTCTTAGTCCTCCTTAAATAATCTCCCTCAACTAGAAGCCCTCTAAGAAACCGAGAAATATAAAGTACACCATTCTTTTTTGGAAAGGACAAGCATCCAAACACATTTTCAAGAACAAATTCCTCTTCCCCAAAGGTAGAAAGTAGAACAAGAAACTATGGATTTCAATCTTGATTGTTTTCACCAAACTAGCTTTTTGACATTTTCAAGTTTAACTTCAACAATCAGGGCACAAACACCTAACAAACAAGGGTAAATGCTCTCTCTTCAACTGACCCATACCTTGCAGAATCAAATACTGTATATCACGCATAATTACACCACAATAAGCAATTCTATTCCCCTCATCAACACACCAGATACTCCAACAATAATTTCTCCTTATCTGGACACTGTCTTTTTTTACATCCATCTTCCTAAAGTTATAGTCTAAGCCAGTGGTGGCAAACCTATATGGCATGCATACCACAGCAAGCTGTGAGTTATCACTGAAAGCTCTAAAAGGTTTGCCATCACTGGTCTAAGCGATCTACTATTTTCTCTCTATTTTTATACCTCTTTCCCAGGTGTTATACAATAATCTATTCCAGCTGCTTCTTTCCCATGGCAAAACAAATAACGAAATGTTTATTCCCAAAATAGTCTCTTAAGATAAGCATGTCACAAAATTATCACTCAATAATAGTCTAAATAACTTTTCAAATCAAGAACAATTATCACTTTCACTTTGCTCTGCTGAAAAATACATTATTCCACCCAACTCAAATTAACTGCTAAAAAAACATGTTAACAGAGGAGAGAGGGTGGAGAATGGGAGATCAAGTATGGTTAGAACTTCAAAAACAAAGAGAAGAAGAGCTACAATGACAGCAGGGAAAATACAGATGTACTGCTAAACTCAGTTAAAAGTTGGCACAGTGGTCCACACCTGCAACCCCAGCTCCTCAGGAGGCTGAGATAGGAAGACAGAAGTTCAAGGCCTGACATGGCAACTCAGACAAGATAAAAAAAATGAAAAGAGCTGGAGTTCAGTGGAAGAACACCCTTTCATCCTCAGTACCACCAAAAAGAAAATAAAAGGGGAAATAAAGCAGTCATTTGTGGCACTTGCCTGTTATCCCAGCACTTGAGAGGCTGAAATAGGAAGATCACCACAAGTTCAGGCCCAACCTGGGCTACACAGTGAATTTAAGGCTAACCTGAACCTGAACTATATAGTGAGACCCTGTCTCAAAAAAGCAAAAGAACAAGTTTGAGTCACACTCACAGAACTTAGCACAATTTTTTAAAGAATGGGAATGAAGAACACTTGCATAGCACACATGAGGCCCTGAGTTCAGTCCTCAGTACCAAAGGGGTTTAAACAAACAAACAAACAACACACTTGTATTTAGGGAGGAAGCAGAAATTAGTTGGCAAAAATTATCTTGACCAAAGAACTGATCAGGTAAAAGCATTTCTGCATTGCTGCAGGATCAAGCCTTCTAATGAGTTAGCCTGGATATCATTAAAATGAATCCACCCTCGGACAGGGGTGTAGCTCAAAGTGAGCTACATGCTTGCATGTACAAAGCCCTGGAGTCAATCCCCAGCAACTTGCCCCATCAAAAAAGAAATCGTTCATCATAATTTCTGAAAATTAGGAGATAAATTTCCATTAAAAAGACCAAATTCTATACTCTCAAAAAACACAACATGAATCTTAAGAAGTTTAAGCTACTGCTGAGTTTATTAATATCAAACATTTTTCTGACAAAACAATTTCTAAAACCCTCGATGGAATCTGACTCATAATTTTAGAATTTCATGTTAGCTGTCCTCTTTTTGAGTCATTCATCCCCGAGTTTATTTTGAAATGAGGGTCTCGCTAAGTTGCCCAAGCTGGCCTTGAACTCTCAATCCTCCAGCCTCAGTCTCTCAAGCAACTGTGATTAAAGACATGTGCCCTACAAGCTGTTAGTTTTAATCTGCCCCTACCCTCCTAAAAAAGCCAGTAAGATAAACCATCACATTTGCCTCAAACTGTACTTTGACACTCACTTTTTTCTCCTTCTAACAGCCAAAAGGGTGATGGCCAGAAGACTATAATTTAGATTTTCAGCCTTAGACTGCTTTCACTTTATAGGCTCCATATCTATCTTTCTACTGCCAAAATATTCTAGAATACTTAAGCATCCAGTCTTCAAGAACAGGATATCCACTTCAGTGTCAAGAAAAAAGCTTGAAGGGCCAGCGATTTAGCTCAGTGGTTCCACTGCCTGCCTCGCAAGTGCGAGGTACCAAGTTCTATCCCCAGTACCAAAAAAAACATAAAAATAACGCTTGAACACAGGGGTATGGCTCAGTGGTAGAGTGCTTGCCTAGCATTCATAAGGCCCCAGTGCCATACACACAAAAAGAATAAAACTTGATAAGATAGTATCTTAATATGATGACTTTCCTATTAGTTTTACTGATCATAGAACATTACAAATTATGCATAGCCTTATTTCTTCTTTACCTGTTTCTCAAGCCTGTTCCATTGCCACAACCCCCACCAACCAAAGTCTGTAAAGAAGGTAAAGCTGAACGGCTTAGCTGCTGCCGACTAGGGCCCCTCCTTCCACCGGGCATGTCCAGGAACCAGTCTGCTTCCAGTGCCACCTGTAGTTGCAACCCAGGTTAATGGTTGTGAAGCTGTTTCAACTCTGAACAACAAAAAAAGAAAAATGTAAATACCAGTTAACTATTTGTAAAATAAGCAATGAAAAAAAAAAAACAGAAAAACTGAGTGAATGGACCTTGTAAAACTGTATTTTTAAACAAATGCTCTGAAGTGTTTATTATCTAACTTATTCTAATGACAGGACTACTCAGATTCTAATGGGCCAGAAGTATAAGTTCTGGTCTAAGCCCTGGCAAGTCACAATTCAAGTCTTTTGTCAGTTGACTTGTATCATACGGAAGATACTTCACTCAGGTGGAAGTTTACAAGCAACACCCCAACTTACAGACTTCCAACTTTATATTTCATGTTAAGCACTTAAAACACAGGAGGATTACCACTGTCCAAAATGTCAGGTTTTTTTTATTAAGGGATCTGGATTCAGAGTAAAGATGTATCACATATTGTCTGAGTTTGAGTCATTTATCCTCTGAGTTTATTTCTTCACCATAACAAAAGCTGTGTCTTGTTCTACAGAGGATTTTGTCAGGATGAACCAAGGTGGATGAAAGGGCACGGATAGCATTTTTTTTTTTTGGTACCGGGAATCGAACTCGGGCCCTTGCGCTTGCACAGCAGGTGGCGAAACCACTGAGCTAAATGCCCGGTCCCACGGATAGACTTTTTAATTCTTTAAAAAGTAAAAAAGAGTTTTAAGTGGTCTCTCCATGTTAGGGTGAGAATACCGAAAGAAACTCAAATCGATACTCCAGAAAAACTGACGAAAAATCATGTAGAAATTATTGAAACTGAGACATGAAAAGGCCAGTAATAGATAAAAGATCCTCACCGAAACAAAGATGTGTTTGCATCAATCTTCGCAAAAATTATGGTTCCACCAATATGAAGACTAAATGTTTCCTAAGCAATACAGTACAACTGAAAATTGAGGAATCACACATTGGAAAATCCTGGATTTTCAAAACGTTACTACCGATTGATCGGACGTTCCCCACTCCTTAACCTTAGGCTACAGGCTAACAAACGCCAGGTAGGACAAACCATTCAAACGGTTGGATGCAGAGGAATCTCTGCCCAATTAACAAGCAAAGGGAAAGAAAAATGAGGAGCGAAAAACAGTGGGATGGAGCTAGAAACTGTATGTGACGGGGGTAGGTGAACGACGAAGAGACCACAAACTTCAACAGGTTGCTTCCTAAAGAGAACACAAAGTTGTCCCCGCCGAGCACTCCACATGGCCAAAACAGGCCCAGGTCAGTTGGACAACACAACAGCAAGTTAATACTCACGCATGGAGGAGGTCCGGCCCGTGGGGCGGGATCCCTAAGAGGAGGCGGCTTTAGACAGGACCCCAGGCAAGAAATTCCCTCCTCCCGGTAAAGTGCTCCAAACCAGCTGCTTCCACACAGACTGTTCCCACTTGAGGAGTTGAGAAGTGTGCAGGCTTCAGACTGCCAAACCCAGACCCTGACCCCAATTTAGTGCCAGAGCCACAGCTAAAGATAAAGGCAGAGCCTGGCCCCGTCAGCATTCATCCTCAGCCACCATTACCACGGAGCTGAGAAGACGTGGCAGCGCACGGCGATGACGTCAGCTCCGCGACCTCCTACCGCTCCAGCTAGACCCTCAGCCTGGGAAGCCGGCACGCCCACCCTCCCGCGCGCACCTGCGCAGTGTGTCGCGACAGCGGGCGTGGCTTGAGTGAGCTTCCGCCTTCACGTCCACCGCTGGCCAACGTGTTTCCTCCTCTGGCCGCAGTCTATAGCTAGCCTTCTTGGCAATGTCACGGACTACAACGGGTAACCATTTACAAGCTGTCGCCCCATGTTCACAGATGAGGGGGGATTGGCATCTAAGGACACTGCTCAGTGAAGGAACCAAAATCGTGAAGCTATACCTCAGAATCCAACCGTGTCCTTACTGCAAAGGACTAGATGCTAAAGTTAAAAAGTGAATAGTTCCACTAGTTCAGTGGAAGAAACAAGACACCAGGGAAACATGAATTACAACTTATTGCATTAAATACAACATTAAAAGTATATCCAAGGTCGGAAGCGTGCTTCTAGCTGCCCAAGTAACAGCACTGTCTTAACTATCTTCTCTCCTCCTCAGGGGCCAACAGGGGCTTGCAGAAATCTGCAAGCGGTGTGCCCACAAGTTTGAGTGCCCATTTGGATTTTCACCATCAGAGATGGCAGTAAAAGTGGCCACAGCTAAAGCTATGTGTCTTGGTGTTACTATCCGGCATATGCAAGATACTAGCAACTTAATCAAGTGATAGGTTGGATACAAAGCCATCAGATTACCTACACGAAGGATGTAGGGTCCTATTTCAGTTTCCCATGTTACTTGCCAACTATGGTTCTACTTCATAGCTCTTAGGATAACAAAGCTGGACATCCTCAGTACTACTATGACCATCACATGGCCTAGTAAGACTCCCACTGCAGTTATTCACAGGGCAGAAAGTCTGAGTAGCCTCCATGTGACAACAGTAGGATGCAGTCCTCACAAGAGAAGACCAAGCTTTGTCAAAAGAGGAGGAGGCTGAGACAGTCAGATGAGGAGGTAGAATATGACCTGAACAATAGAGAAGTCACTGATGAGCTCCACCAGTATTTTGCAGAGACCCAGAGGCACAGTGAAGAACAATGGCGGGGACAGCAGCAGGTGGAGGCAAAGTACATGAATGACTGTGTGACTGCAGACCACAACCTGTCCTACAATTGCTTGTACTACAGTGGCGCTCCTGACCAGGGACCTTTGAAACTGCATCGAGCTGAGATGAAGCATTTGTATGAGGAGAGCACTGCCAAGATCCAGGTTATGGAGGCTGCAGTGCAGATGAGCTAGGACAAGCACTGTGACAGAAAGCAGTCCAAGTACTGGCCTGTCATTTCTCTGAAGTTCTAAGCCCAAGGAATGCTTTCTGAAGAGTCTCTAGCCTCACCTGCCTCTTCCTTTTGAATACACTCTCCTCATCTCTTCTCCCACAGCTTTCTCAGGGAAAGAACCCATTGTACTGAGCTATAAACATGTTCACCGAAGACCCAGTGGACCCCTCAGGAGCTGTGTATTAGTCAGCTTTCTGGTCACTAGAACAAAATATCTGACACCCACAATTTAAAGGAGTACAGATTTATTTGGGCTCATAGTTTCAGAGGATTCAGTTTATGGTCTGCTGGCTTCAAGGCAGAAACCACATGGTGGCAGGACATGGCAGAGTAAAACTGCTTATCTCATGACAGCCAGGAATCAAACAGAAGAAAAGAGGAGCCAGGGACAAGAATACATATACCCTTGGAGGTCATGCCCATAGTGACCCACCCTTCCAACTAGGTCTCACCTCCTATAGGCACATGAATTCATCACTGATGAATCCACTGATGAAAATAGTGTTTCCATGATCCAATCACCTTCTAAAAGCTCTACCTCTGAATACATAAGACTTTTGAGGGACATTTTAGATCTAAAGTATAACAAAGTAGATGTTATATGTCAGCCACTTGGTAGTTGGCAGCATGCATACTGTTGCCAACATGAGAAACTTTCTCTTGCAATAAAATGACAATGTATAATCCAGTGGAATGTATACCATAATAGTGTTCAGTTCATTAAAGTTCTTGTCTAGACATTTAAAAAAAGTGTATCCAAGGCCTAGAGATATCATGCAAGACAGGGTAAAGAACAATGTGCGATGGTGGTGTATCAATAAGATAACCTTCATGAAGATCTTAGGTTTTAATCTCAAGGTTCATGAATGCATTGGTGTTTTGTAGAAGAATGGCTTTTCCATGGAGAAGAAGTGTCAGATAAAGAGGTAAGTTGGGTCCAGTAGTAGAGTATATGTTTAGCATATGCCAGGCCCTGCGCTCAAACCACAGCACCAAAAAAATTTAAAAAAAGGTAAGGAGGTGAGTGACCACAGGATGAATTCAGAAACTGCAAATACTTTGGTACTACAGTATCAAAGATGAGCATTTAGGGCTGGGGATTTAGCTCAGTGGTTCTGGTGCCTGCCTCGAAAGTGCCAGGTCCCAAGTTCGATCCCCAGTACAAAAAAAAAAAAAATGAGCATTTATGTGAGTTCTTCCACTCCAGAAACTTTAAGCCCCTTAAGAGCAAGCCATTCATATTGATTATATGATTAGTTAACTTTTATTGAGAGTTGTAATAGACACTGGATTACTAACTTTGCACATTTCATTTAGACCTCACAAGCTGGGCTGGAGGTATTGCTCAGTGGATGAGCTTACTTAGTATATGGGAGGCCCTAGGTTCGATCTCCAGCAACACCCACACATACACATGCATATAAACCTGACAGTGTTTTTGTTTGTTTGTTTTGGTATCGGGGATGGAACTGGGGACCTTGTACTTTCAAGGCAGGCAGCAGAACCACTGAACTAAATCCTCGGCCCCAACCTGACAGTGTTTTGATAGATACTAACATGGTTCTCAGTTTATGCAGGGAGCAGAAGTTGAGTAATTTGTTGAGAATAACCCAGCCATGCACAGCCAGAATGACTAATAACAAAAGTTAGTAATATTCTCAAATACTCCTGGCATCCTAATGTACCACAGATGATTCATGAATATATACAACCTAACATACATCATTACATAATTTCATTGTATTCACCTCTTGGGCATAAGAAATTTTGTACATTATTTTCATATTAGCTCTGCTAACTGCTTTTGCTACTTTTCTACTGACTCTCCAGCATCTTTCCTGTCTTAGTTATTTCTTCCTTCCTGGGACAAAATACCTGACACCCACAAATTAAAAGAAGATAGCTTTATTTCAGCTCACAGTTTGTAGAGGTTTCAGGTCATAGTCAGCTGGTTCCGAGGCAGGGCACCATGGCAGAGGGGGATCACAGAGAAGAAACAGTCCATGGCAGGTCAGGTAGGAGGCAGTAAGCAGCAACAGGGAGTCCTTCCTTTCTCTTTTATTCCATTCAGGCTACAAGCCTATTGGATGGTGCTACCAACACCCAGGGTGGGCCTTCATAGTATCTACACTCAGAACTATGCTAAACTAATTAGCAGGCTCATTTAGTAACCACAACCCTCAATCCATATTCACACACCCTAAATCCAGCCACCTCGGGAAAAGCCCCACCTATGAGCACACAAGGCTTTAGGGGGGAACCTCTACATACAAGCCATAACATTTCCTTCATTCACCATTTAATTATCTAGTTCCAGGGCCAGGGATTTAGCTCAGTGGTTCCAGCACTGGCCTCCCAAGTGCAAGGTCCCGAGTTCAATCCCTGATACCAAAACAAACAAACAAAAAACAAAAAAAAATTATTTAGTGCCACTGTGTACCAGGCTCTATGCTTCTCAACAAATACAACTCTGCCCTCCTGAAGTTTATATTCTATTGAGGAAAATATTATTAAATATATGAGATAATTAGCTGGGCATGGTGGTGTGTGCCTGTAATCTCATCTTGCAGAAGGTTTTGGCCGGAGGATTGCTACAAGTTTGAGTCCAGCCTTGCCTACATAGTTCAAGACAAGCCTGGGCTATGTAACGAGACCTGGTCTCAAAAAACTAAAAATACAGTACCAAAATAAAAGAAGCAGAATCAGCAGCAGTCACCACTGCTGCCATAGCAGTTCCCACTGACCGATCAGGAAGAGACTGGAGAGGGAAAAGATGAAAAGTCCCATCAGACCACCCAGCCTTTGGTCCCTTCCCCTATGGCCAATGGAAACTCTGGTGACCCTAAGTCATTCCTTCACAGAGGTCTTCTAGGATCCAGGGGACCAGTGATTCCACCACTGCTGACTTTCCAACCTCCTCCCAGGGGAAGAGGGCCATTTTGGAGAGATCTTGCCCCCAGATCTAATCCATATGGTTATGGTTGGTGGGGGCTTCAATGCTGAACCTCCCTTTCTGGGGCCAGCCCACAGGGGTCACTCCAGGGAAAGCATTCACAAAGAGCAGGGAAACCCTCTGAAGGAGACCACCTTAAGCTGGTGTTGAGCAGGCTTTGATTATATTCAACTGGCTTATTACAACTGGCTTATACTTATGATTCAGAGCTGGTCTAAAGCTTAAGTGCACAGCTGAATGGCTACAGCTGGCATGCAGAAAGAGAACTCTATGTGCCACAGGCCACAGCCAGGACTAACCCAGGTCAGTGACACTGTGGCGCCTGTTTTAGCTGATAGCATCTATGGCTGAAGACCCCATGATTTTTGCTCATTCTCTATAAAAAGTGAAAAGGGAAAAAGTTACTATTAATCTAAGGGAAAGAACAAGTTCCTATTAATTTAAGATTCACTTCTTGCAAGAATGCTTTGTTCTGTTCTTGCTAGGCCTCTCTCATGTCCGTACCTCTCATCATCACCCCACATACCTGACCATATGCTGCCCCCTGCTGCTTTGTGCGCAATAGATACTGGCAAGTCTGGAGGTTCTGGGTCTCTGTTTACTAGAAGCTCTGACCTCCCAGGCCTCATTTCCTTTACCATTTATCTTTGTCTTCATTCTGCATCACGAACCTAATTGGGGGTCTGGAGCTCCCTGATACCTTCAAGGGCTCAAAAACTGGTCTCTTATCAAGAATATCTGCCTGACTTATCTATACATCAAATTCTTT